TTTGAGGTGATTTAATTTTATTCAATAAGTAAGTATTTGTTGAATACTTTTCTTCATTGATACATTTTGTATCTTATTTTTGTTGTTGTTTTGTTTATATTGTGAATTCATTATTTTGGTGAATTTAATATTTTATTTATTTAGTAAACTCTATTTGTATTTAACATTTCAATAACTGAGTCCTGAGTATTTTATTTAGTGTAAGATATCCTTGGGTAATAGATTGAAGATTTAAATGATATTTCATGTGAATATGGTTTAAGTCAGTTACACACAAGTAAGTATACAGGGTTGTGGTTTAAAAGTTTATTAGTTATTCAAAGCACAAGTAAAGTTACACAAACAGACATTTAAACAGGAGGTCAGCAAGAATTCTATATATTATATACAGTTCACTAGGATTAATTTAAGAGCCCAGGCACGCCCTTTAGTACCATGAAATAGGCCTAAGGGGCGCTACATATATAATATATAAAAAGTATATTTGTTTCTGCACATACAAAAACAGTAACATGTTAATGATCTAATTTATTGCAACGAACAGTTATCATAAAATCAGACTATATTTAGATTCATATGGACATATGCTGCTGAAGATGAGTGACATCAGTGTTTGTTTTTGTGTTATAATTTTTTTTATTCGTGTCAGATGGTGAGAAATTACAGTAGTGTCTTTCAATAGAGCAGTTTTACAGGCTTTTATCATGTATCCTGACTCAGATAATGTGTTTCTAACAGCAAACACTCAGAATAAAGTGAGATGATCTGCTGATGATCCTGAATGGCTTGTTGAATGAGTGTTGATAGTCTGAGGATCATCAATATTAACAGATCTGCTGAAAACACTCTTTATTTCATGACAATAGTTCCTGTTTTCACCTCATTTATTATGCTGATGTCTTCAGATCTCCTGTACATTGACACTTAAAGCTCATTTCATTGGTGTCAGCAGACTGAGGGGATTTGTTGGCTACTATACTACATTTATTTCTGAGTTTAATGTATTTTTCTTATCATTATTTGTATTTGGAAGAATTTACATTAATGATTTTCTTTATTTCTGCATACTGCAGAATTTTTGTATTGGTTATTAACTGGATTAAGTGAAATCTATGAGAATATTATCAAAGACATTCTACTATTATATCTGACTCAGGAGCATAAGAGAAGCAAAGCATGCGACTGGATGGAAATGCTCATAGATGGTGAATTCCTTAGTCTCATGTTTACTGCTTAAAATAAAAGTATATGGAATGTATTGATTACCTTTGAGGTGTATATATGTCCGATACTGGACTAGAGTTGCTTTTGCAAATGCACTCTGCTTTGTTAGATAAAAAAATAAGAATTATTGGATAGTAAAGTTTATTCCCTGGCATTAAAGCCCCAAGACTTCAAGATTGATTTTTAATGAATTGACAGACTCCACAACAATATTTGAATGAAGAAGGAGAATCATTTTGGGGTTCTGAGTTGAATGATCATCAGTAACTTTATGATAGACAGACAGACAGACATGATGTACACAATTTTACAGATGTGTCATTTAGTTAAAAAAACTCACTAACCGATAGATTTGTGGCTCCTCCCACACAATTGCATCATAAGTGAAGCTCCTCCCACAGCAGTCACATCATCAGTGAAGCTCCTCCTACTGTAATTCCCCAATAAATGCTGTAAATTCTGCTGTAAACTTGCTGTAAACGAGCATCAGAGCATCAGGAAGAGCTGAAATCTGCCAAGACTGAGTTTATTAAAGAGGACAGTGAGAACATGAGTGATCCAGAACCCTGCAGAATGAAACACACTGAAGATCCTGAAGAACAAAGAGGTTGGTGTTTATTCTTCATTCATTCATGATGCTGAAGAACATTCATGTTAGAAACATTCAAGCACTTCATCACATTTAGGTAAACAGTTACACTATGAAATGGCACAGAATGTTCTGGGTTTTTCTTCAACAAATGGTCAGTAAAGGGAGGCTTGAGACATTTTTATATCAATTGTCAACATCAGATCAAGCAAAATACTAGTTTAACTGTTTTATTTTACATTTATTTTATATCTGGTATAATTATAGTTGGAAGATACATTTTCCTCATTCATGGAAAGTTTCAAGGACATATTATCAATTTATAAAAAGGCATCAAATTATCATAATATTTAATTATTATTATTATACATTTTATTTTAGGCGCCTTTCTTGACACTCAAGGTCACCATATATTATCAACAAAACAATAACAATATTTAAGTAAGAAACTATGTGATACAATACAATTAAAATACAATGTTGTGTAGCAATAATCAGTCAAGTCAAGTCATCTTCATTTATATAGCGCTTTTAACAATGGATTGTTTCAAAGCAGCTTTACAGAGATAAACATATAATTTAAGGTAACAGATTGTTTTGGCGTTATAGCGGTTCTTGAATAATGTTACTTCCAGCTACAGTTAACTTTGATTGATTCACCTCCGTCGAAATGATCAGACTTTAAACGCGAACCTGTGATTAACGCTGACGGCGTTCACATGCTCATTCAGAATTCTATAGTTATGTGCTTTTTAAAATATGTGCGCAGGTTTGTAATTCATACAACCCAGCCTAAACAAACTACTTTTCTTGCCTAAAAATTTTGATACAGAATTTTGTTTTATTTTATCACTTCGGGGTACGCGAGCCGGAATTCACAACGCTTTATCTGTAGAGTGGGAAAGGGATCCTCCATAGGGAGAGGATAGTGGATACTTCAGCACTGCATTGTCATCGGGTCCAGGCGAATCTCCTTCGTCAGATCTGGATACGGCCTGGATCCGGCAGGATGCGGGAAAACCTCGGGATAAACAAAGACACTAATATTAGCGTAGATGCCATTCTTCTTATGATGTAGCGAGTACATCAAGATTTAAGGGAAGTGTTCCCAGTTCCGGCTGACCTAATCTATGCAGCCTAACATTGAATTTATAGAAGTCTATAATGTATTATGTGTATGCTAGGTCAAAGAGATGTGTTTTTAGTCTAGCTTTGAACTGACAGAGTGTGTCTGCTTCCCGGACAATGTTAGGAAGACTGTTCCAAAGTTTTGGTGCTAAATAGGAAAAGGATCTACCGCCAGCAGTCGATTTAGATATTCTAGGTATTATCAACTGGCCGGAATTTTGAGATCGCAATAGACGTGAAGGACTATAATGCGTTAAGAGCTCGCTCAAGTACTGCGGAGCTAAACCATTTAGTGCTTTGTGGGTAATCAACAATATTTTAAAATTTATACGATGTTTAATAGGGAGCCAATGCAGTGTTGACAGAACCGGGCTAATATGGTCATATTTCCTGGTTCTGGTAAGAACTCGAGCTGCGGCGTTTTGAACTAGCTGTAGTTTGTTTATTAAGCGTGCAGGGCAACCACCCAGTAGAGCATTACAATAATCTAGCCTTGAGGTCATGAACGCATGGACTAATTGTTCCGCATTTCCCAATGAGAGCATATGGCGTATTTTAGATATATTTTTAAGATGGAAAAATGCAGTTTTACAGATACTAGACACGTGGCTTTCAAAATCAGATTGTCAGCAGTTCGGCCATTTGATTAATCAACTAGATTCTAATTAGTGGACACCCCTCCATTCTTCAGATTGTCATGGGACTTTTAAGTCACCGATTCACACACAAAGCTTCTCGCTCTTCATGAACTGCACACGAGGCAAATGGTGCCTGGACTTAATTAAATTACCGATGCTAGAAGTGCCCCCGCGGCGTTTTTCACTGATAAGCACTCACTGGACCGTCTGTGTTACCACATGTGACGCAACAGGGGCGCCTCTCTCTGGCCGGAGATCCCGTGGTTAGAGGTGGTGATGTGATGAATAGAGGGGGTACGGGTGATAATACGAGCACCTGAATGTTGGACCATTTGAAGTTTGCCAGGTGTTTTATGCGGGAGGCCAAACAAAAGGGAATTGCAGTAATCTAAATGAGAGGTGACTAAACTATGAACAAGAATGGCAGTGGAGTGAGGCGTGAGGAAAAGGGCGCAGACGGTTGATATTTCGAAGATGATAGTAAGCAGACCGGGTAACATTATTAACATGAGACGTATAAGAGAGGGTGCTATCGAAGATGACACCACGACTCTTAACCTGAAGGGAGGGGGAGATGAAGTAGCTATCAATGGGAATAGACAAATTATGGAGTTTGTTTAATGTTGAACTTGTATCTATAAGAAGCAATTCTGTTTTATTGCTATTTAATTTAAGGAAGTTTGAAGTGAACCAGGATTTTATGTCAAGAAGACAGTAAGGGAAGATGGTGGAAGTTTTGAATTCGGTTTGGTTTAAAGATAGAGCTGGGTGTCATCTGCGTAGCAATGGAACTGAATCTGATATTTACGGAAGATGTGACCAAGAGGGAGAAGATAAATAATAAAAAGCAAGGGTCCCAGGACAGAGCCCTGGGGCACTCCTGTAATGACATAAACTGAATGAGAGGTGAATGATTTTAACTGAATGAACTGAGTGCGGCCTGAGAGATAGGAATGTGTAGGTGTGTTAGTGATGCCAATAGAAGAAAGTCTGTCTAAAAAGATAGTGTGTGAAATTGTACCGAATGCCGCGCTCAAATCAAGCAAAAGGAGAATGGATAGTAAACCAGAGTCAGCAGCCAGGAGAAGGTCATTAGTAATTTTAAGGAGTTCCGTTTCTGTGCTATGAAGAGAACGGAAACCAGACTGGAATTGTTCATATATTATTGTAGGAAAGATGAGTATGAAGTTGAGCAGCAACAATTTTTTCAAGAATTTTGGAGATGAATGGAAGATTTGAAATAGGACGAAAATTATTAAGGTTGTTGGGATCTGAACCAGGTTTCTTAAGAATTTGAGTTACAGCAGCTGTTTTAAGAGAAGAAGGAACAATTTCAGTGGTAAGAGAAGAATGAATGTTTGTAATGAGAGGGGACAGAAAAAGAGTAACGGCCTTCACAAGAACCGTAGGAAGGGGGTATTATGAGTTCCAAAATTTCATTTGAGGGTAAGGCAAATGCTGTGAGTAAATCGGTGGGAGCAAATGAAACTGGGACTGGTGAGTTCGGACCAGAAGTAGACATGAGTTGCTGGTGGATGTGTTCAATTTTTAAAGAGAAAAATGATAATATAGAATTACAAAAATCAGAAGAGTACAAGTGAGGAGGAAGTGGATCCCGAGGTTTTGTGAATAAGGGGAAAAGGGCCTTTGAATTTCCTTCACTTGAACTGATTAAACCAGAATAGTAAATGGTTTTAGCTCTAGAAATATAATCTTTGTAAAGAAGAATGTGCTTTGAATACATGTCCTTGTGCACAGTGAGACTGGGTTTCCTGTAAAGTCTTTCGAGTTGTCTTCCTTTGCTTTTAATTTTCTAAGAGTGGGAGTAAACCAAAGTGCAGATAGAGTAAATGAAACTGTCTTGGTTTTGAGTGGAGCAAGGTTATTAAAGAGGTTAGGAAGGTTATAATTATATAGTGAGAGAGTAATTCATCCGGGGTAGAAAAAAAAATAGAAAAAAAAAACCTTTCATGTCCTTTCACTTTATACTGTATTTCTCTCTTTGATTTGTTTTGATGTACTGACAATTAAATGTAATATTTTTTTTCTTTCATGTCAGAACTGAGTGAAGTGGAGGAGGAACATCATGTCAAACCTGGAGAAAAACCTTTCAGTCACTCAAAGACTAAACAGACATTTTTAAAGAAAAGAGCCAAGCAATCTACAACCTGCACTCAGTGTGGAAAGAGTTTCACAACCAAACAACATCTTGAGCGTCACATGATGATCCACACAGGAGAGAAGCCGTTCACATGTGATCAGTGTGGAAAGAGTTTCACTCAATCATCATCCCTTAATGTTCACATGATGATCCACACCGGAGAGAAGCCGTTCACATGTGATCAGTGCGGCAAAACATTTATCTGTGCATCAGACCTGAAGAAACACCTGGCAGTTCATATGAAGGAGAAGCCGCATTCATGTTCTGTGTGTGGAAAGAGTTTTTCACGGCAGCAAACTTTACATGGACATGAGAAAACTCACACTGTGAGAGAGTACATGTGCTTTGAGTGTGAGAAGACTTTTACTAAAGCAAGCAATTTAAAAGTGCACCAGAGAATTCACACCGGAGAAAAACCTTACAAGTGTTCACACTGTGACAAGAGATTCAGTCAGTCATCAAATCTGAAAACACATGAGAGGATCCACAGCAGAGAGAAGCCGCACACGTGTGATCAGTGCGGGAAGAGTTTCTCTATTAAAAGTGGCCTGAAGCGACACATGAAGATCCATGCAGTGGAGAAACCACTTAAACACAGTCTGAGATCACTGTAGTTTATTTTCATGTGCTGAGCAACAAAGTCTCTTCTGTGTAAGTTAGCCACACATCACCCTATAGCCAAATCTCTCCTCTCCCCCTATAGCCGGTGTGTGGTGAGCACAGGACACTTTGTTCATTGATTGGTATTATTAACTCCTAGGTGTTCTTCTTTCAGACAAATACAATCAGAGTTATATTAAAAATGTCCTGGCTCTTCCAAGCTTTATAATGCAGTGAATTGCATGATAAAAGTGCATCTATCCATGATAAAAGTGCATCTATGCATGATAAAAGTGAATCTATGCATGATAAAAGTGCTCCACACGTCTCCAGGGGTTAATAAAGGTCTTCTGAAGTGAAGTGATTTGAAGAATGTCATAAACCAGAGACAGTAGCCATTGACTTGCATAGTATTTGTTTTTCTACTATGGAATTCAATGGGTTCCTTTAACCGTCTGGTTTCTGGCATTCTTCAAAACATCTTCCTTTGTGTTCAGCAGAAGAAAGAAACTCATACAGGTTTAAAACAACTTGAGGGTGAGTAAATGATGTCAGAATTTTCATTTTGGGGTGTTTACACACATTGAAAAAACATGTTGTTTGGCAAATTAACCATTCAATTTGAAGCGATTTCCGTGTTGTGGTTGCTTTCTAATAAATATCGCCTTGAATTGAGTATTTCATTCAGTCTCATTATTTAGTTGTTTGAAAGAATATACTTTTCCCCCACTTTTACTATTTAACTATTAATAAACTTAGAAATATGTTGCCAAAGCTTTTTAGTAAATGGAAAGATCAAAAAAGATATACAACTGGTTCATCTGATTCACCACAAAAGGAGCAACTGAGACAAATCTTGCTTTTAAACTTTTGCATGTAATGGTTTGCTTGAGAATTGTTTACTTGAGGGCAATACTTGTGGATTCTTTTGAAAGAAATATTTTACTTTGTTGGTTAAATTATGTGGAAGCATTCATCCTTTCTTTAAAAAAAAGGAAAGCAAAACAAGGTAATTGCTGAAAATATATTAATTTCTATTTAATATGTGTGTGGGGGAGGGGTTATTACATTACCACAAAGTACATTCAGAACTACAATAATATAAACAAAAGAAAACGTACAGCCTAGTAGTTGGCTAACAGTTACAGAAATAATTTTAACGACTTAACAGGAAAGCTTTAATCCGAATGGTTTTCTTAATAGGCTATATATTCTGATTTCACGTTGAAGAATACAAAAAGAGCTTTGGTTTTACTCTATATTTGCATTTATGTATATGATATTTAGTGAAAAATGTGTGGACTTCAGTTGTCTTGCCAAGTCAGAAAACAAAATGAATCCAGCCCTTTGAAGACTCAGCTCGAAGGCTGGTTAGCGCCCTCTGGAGGAAGACACCATATCACATCTTTGCAGGTAATGGGGACGGATAGGCTTGTTGTGCGCATTTGTGAATCAAAGATATTGTTTTACCAGCCATGACACAAAAACAGGCATATATGGCTTCAACATTTTATATGGTTTTAAAAATTCACAATCCTCTATTGCAATTTCTATACCAAAGCTAAAACTACTAGCCTAACTAATATGAATTTAACAGCCCATTTTTAGAAAATAGTAAACTGTAATAAAATAAGAACAAACAATCAATTCCACAAAACAAATCCATAACAATGAAATAAAAAGTGCTCTTCATGCAGGTCTAATAGTTTTCAGGTACCGAAATTTAAGAAAGTAGACTAATCTAATAAATAACTGCACCGCATATCCTTTTTAAAGTTTAAGAGCAGAGAATCTTTTTTTCTTTGTGGTTTGGTTGAGTGTTATGGTGCGTTCCAGGCAGGTTTTTGAGCACGTAAATCACGACTTCAAACCACGACTCACGACTTTGTAGCGTTCCAGGCCAGTCACGCCAAACTACTAATGCTGGCAATGCTGTCAAGTTCAGGTTTACGTCACCTTAACATTTCCATGCGGCAATACACTTTCACGACATAGGCCTACTTATTGTTTCAGACACATAACATTGTAATACATAATCGTGTGTGTATTATTATCATTATTATTATATTATTATTAATTTGACTGCAACTTTATATTGTCGCATTACAGCATTACATTGTTCTAGTCAGTTTGATGATAGCCTACTGTCTCCATCTCACCACAGCTTTACACAACCAACAGAAAGAGAGCAACTGGAATAAAGATCATTTATTTTTTATGTTTGTGTTATTGTTGATGTCTAGATGTTTTGTCGTTATGAACGGTACTTGATCATTTACCTTTGGCGGCCGATGACGTCAGCGCTCGCGCGCACCGTCTCTCTCTTCTTCCCTCATTGAGTTTAAGCGTCGAGTCTTCTGAGGCGAGGAGAGCACACTGTAAAACCTAATAGTGTATTTACTCAATTAAATTGAGTTCACTGCACTCAAATAATACTGAAAAACTTGAAGTGGCTTGAATGACTGAAACAGAACTCAAACTGAATGAGTTATAGAACATTTCTAGATCCCAGAATGATAATTGAATAATAATTGTATAGTTAAGTTAATTAATCATCAATTAAGTGATGATTGGTCATTAGTGATGAACACCTGATGTTAACAAGCAGAATCACTGAAGGACAGAGAAACACAAGAAATACAAGGTTTAAGGTCACCATGATGGAGATCAGCGCTTGCTTTAGTTGGGCTCTTGACCCTTGACTTTAGAGTCTAAGTTTTTATTTGGCTGCTGTAATTGAGTGTTTATTAAACATTTGTTATGGCACAAGTCAAGGAAAAGTATGTTTGGGAATGGTTGTCAAGGTTTGATGATGACAATCATCATTTAATGACTTGATTCACTGATCTCATTCTCTGTCTCTGGTTAAAAGGGTAGCCAATTATTAGTTTGTAAACTGAGATTCTATAGTATAAGAACTAGCAATGTTATGACTATCAGATAATATGAAGGATTTTACAGAAAATGTAATTCATTACAAAAACTAACACAGATATCATGAATCAGCATATGAATCTCAACAATGGTGACCATTAAAAAACTATTCATACTGCAAAGCATGCTGGGTACTACCATAATACAAAACTTATCCATGGCTCCCAGCATGCATTGCAGCATGAATAATTTTTTTAATGGTCACCATTGTTGAGATTCATATGTTGATTCTTGATGTCTGTGTAAGTCAGCATGACACCATAGAGGTTTTTAAAATCTGATTGAAACAACAATGGGCCTTACAGCAGAATCACAGTTCTTTTATAATGAATAATACAAGTTATATATCACCTGTTTAATCAGAGATTATTCTCTAGAAAAGATCAGAGAATCAAGACACCAAATGATAATTCATCTTTCCATAAATCATCATCAAAACACAACCACATGCTCATATTTTCTTTTAGCTTTTGTGCCATAACAAATGTGTTATATAAACACTCAGTTACAGCAGCCAGAGGAAAAACTGGTGTTATAAAGTCAAGGGTCAAGAGCCCAACTAAAGCAAACACTGACCACTCTCATGGTGTCTTTAAATGAAAAACAAATCATCTTCATCTAAACCTCTTCATTCACAATAACGGCTTCTGTAGACGCATGACTCAAATAACTCAATAACTCATAACTCAAACTGGTTAATAAGTGAAGCTGGTAATGCTGTTTGTGGAGTTGTTCAATCCTCCTCTGAGATCTCCAGAGATTTAAACATATTTTATCTTCAGTGATTTCATCTAATGTTGTGGTTGGAAGTCAGTTGTAGTTCTTGTGTTTCTTTCCTTCAGTGATTCTGCATGTTAACAGCAGGTGTTCATCATTAATGCTCAATCATCACTTCATTAATCACTTAATTAATCACTTAATTTCTTGACTGCAATATCTACTTTTAGTGAACTCAACTGAAATAATTTCAGAGTACTCATAACTATTGTTTTTTATGAACTTAAATTAATTGAGGTAATAAGTTTCCTCAAATGTAATGAGTTAGCTTAACTCATTGGATTTGACTTTGTGTGTGATATTGTGAGCTAGCAGTAACTGCAAGTGCTCTGAGTTCATTTAAAGTTTGTCATTTCACTGTTTTTACTCAATAAAGTGGAGTTTCAGCTATATACAGTATTAAATGCTGTGAAAAGTTGAATTGTGTTTTAAGAAATATTATTGTTTTAGTAAACTTGAATAAAATAAGTTCAGAGTACTCATAACTATTGTTTTTTATAAACTTAAATGAATTGAGGTAATCGGTTTCCTCAAATGAAATGAGTTAGCTTAACTTGTTGGGTTTTACAGTGCAGGGGGCTGTTCCATAAACCAAGATTAGAGTATAAACCAGGCTTATTTCGGTTAGTCAGGCTTATTTTTGGTAGATTCAGTTTCATAAATCAAACTTAAAATAGTTCAAACTCAGTTACCCTGGCAACTTATGCTGGGAAACTAGCCTGGTCCAGGGTAGGCTAACTGTCAGGCTAAGCCTCAGTTGTTACACAGATCCTCAACACTGACCGACAAGAACACAATGATATTACCACTGACAGTCTCTAATACCATTATTGGACTTTATAAATACACAGTATACAGAAAATCAACTTAAATAAGGCTACAATATAGACAATATAGACACATATATAAGGCGTTTTAAAGTTGTCCGTTTAGGACATGTCATTTTTGTAATAAAGACATTTTAATTAAGGAATGCCTCGGTTATCAGAGAATTATTTCTTTACACTGTCTCTTATATATATATTTATATATATATATATATATATATATATATATATATATATATATATATATATTATGTACTTTATTATGTCTTTCAATTCAAACACATTTAACACAATTATACAAATGGACAGTTCCTTTAAAGACATCATATTTTCCCCCAATAATTATTCCTTATTTTTCCTTCTACTTTTTTTTATTTTGTGATAATACCAACACATACATATAAATAAAACAATAAATAAATATTAATAAAAATATAACATTCACATATATCAAACTCGTATAATGAATGACACATAATTCCTAATAGTTATTCAAGTAATATTATTTAAATATCAAATATTCAATATTAAATAAGTAGCCTAAATAAATAAAATAACAAATAACTAGAAATAAAAGGGAAGGTTACATAAAATGTAGT